GATGACGAAGAAGAGACCGGTGCCGGACTTGTCACAGGAGGATTAGGTCGTCGAGAATAGACTTGAGTAATAGGTGGTTTTGGTTGAGAAGGTGGTGGTGGTAGTATTGAAACAACATTAGAGTCTAGAATGGTGACATGATACACTAGTAGATCATCATCCTCTTGTGGACACACAGGTGTAGATGGAGTGGTAAAGAAAGGAAGATGTTCATKGAATGTAACATCAGCTGACACAAGATACCTGTTCAAGAGAGGAGAAAAACACCTATACCCTTTTTGGAGACGAGAGTATCCCAAGAAGACATATTTTAATGACTTGGGGTCCAATTTGGAAACTTGTGGACGAACATCACGAACAAAACAAGAACATCCAAAGATACGAGGTTCAACAGGAAACACAGATTTATTAGAAGACAAAATCTTATAAGGAATCTAATCATTTAAAACAATGGAGGGCATGCGATTAATCAAAAAACACACTGTAGAAACAGCATCAGCCCAAAACTGTTTAGGAACATGTGTTTGAAATAAAAGAGCCCTGACAGTTTCAAGAAGATGTCTATTTTTCCTCTCAGCCACTCCATTTTGAGATGGAGTATCAACACAAGATGATTGATGGAGTATTCCATTCTGAGCCATGTAGGTCTGAAAGGAATCAGAGAAATATTCTTTGGCATTATCACTTCGCAATGTTTGTAYAGACACATCAAACTGGGTTTTTATTTCAGCACAAAAGGTTTTAAAATGTGAAAGCAACTCAGAACAAGATTTCATTAAATAAAGCCAAGTCATACGAGAAAAATCATCCACAAAGGTGACAAAATATCGAAATTCAGTCTTAGACATAATGGGACAAGGCCCTCAAACATTTGAATGTACTAACTTAAAAGCATGACTAACCCTTTTATTAACTCGAGAAACAGATGATAGACGATGATGTTTTTCAAATTGACAAGACTCRCAATCTAAAGAAGATACATCATGAAACTGAGGACATAATTTCTTTAACAGAGGTAAAGATGGATGCCCCAACCGACAATGAGCTTCAAAAGGGGATAAAGTACTGGAACAGGCAATGGTCCGGGGTTCCTGGGTATCCAAAATGTACAGACCTCCTGATTCTCGTCCTTTACCAATAATCCTCTTCGTCATAAGATCCTAAAACAGACAAAGATTAGGAAAGAATGAGATACAACAGTTAAGAGTACAAGTGAGTTTGCTAACAGATACCAAATTAAAAGAAAATTTTGGTAAACTCAATACGGATGACAAAGAAAGTGTTGGTGTGGGATTGATAGTGTCAGAACCAATGACAGAAGAAATAGAACCATCTGCTAAGGTGACTGAAGAAGGAAAAGTGTGTGATTGGAAAGTGGAAAAGAGACTAGGATTACCTGTCATATGATCTGTTGCACCAGAATCAATGACCCACTGAGAGGAAGAAGAAAGAAGACATGTATTGGTTTTACCTGACTCAGCAAGGGCAGTGATGGACTGAGGAGTTCTTTAATGCCTCTTGATACTGGGTAAATTTCGCATACTCATCTGCAGAAATTGTCATGGTCTGATCTGACGATGGATGAGGAGCATCACTCGTAGTTACAACATGAGCTGACTGAGACCCAGAA